GTGTGTGTGTGTGTGTGTGTGTGTGTGTTGTAAAACTGCAGCATCTGTCACAGTCAGAGACAATAGCAGGTCACAATAGAGAATATGTGACCTCTTGAATCATGTATAGGTTCATTATGACGGGACAAAAAGAAATCCCTCTTTACCGGGAGTCCTTCCCCCTAATGTGTGTGAAAGTGTGTGTGTCGTGGTCGTCAGTGCGTGACCATACGTGCGTGTGTGTGTGTGTGTGAGGGAACAGAGGGCCAAGCGATGTCAACTTAATCAGGTCTCAGCTGGACAGACTGTAAATACAGTAACCCTCCTCTCCCTCCCCACTGATTTGCCACCTCCCCTCACCACCAGACCCATCCTCCTCCCCCCTGCAGGCACATCCCTAATTCGGGCCCACCTCTGTCATGTGTCACAAGACGCGCAACCCCTCCAGCCACACACACACACACACAGACACACACATACACCCTGCTGAGATGAAGGAAGAGGGGAGACAGGGAAGACAGGGTGGAAGATTGAGGATGGAGTGTGAGGAGGGGGGAGGAGGAGGAGACAGACCTACGGTGTGCCAGCTGGTGTCGTGCCCGCAAGTCGTGACTCATACTTTACCATCTGTCTCGCAGAGCACACACACACACACACACACACACACCTATCAGCGTCTCACGGGCCATCCATTGATCCCACATGTGTTTGTTGCACACGCACACACACGCGCACACACACACACACGCAGGTGTGACAGAGAGACAGATGAGTGGTAGCTCATCACAGTGTAACTCCCCCTCTCGGCCAAACACTGATTCATGCTGACATCTGAGACAGTCGTCCACGTCTCGGTGGAAAGACCCAATCTGAAACCGGTGTCAAAAATCAACAGCTGCACCGCCGAGGCTCTGTGTTTAATGCTTTACACTGACGGACAGAATCTTATTTAAAACTTCATTGAAATGATTTGAAGTTGGCTCCTTGTGAGACGTAATAACAGAGGTCCATTTAAAAAGGTGAAAAACTTATTCTCCGAGCCTGTTGGTTTCTTTTTTTAAATATATGATTCATAACAATTCCTCATTAAAACATGAAGTAAAGTTTTTAAGGTTCTATTTTGCATCAAATTACAAATTTGTAAGGGAGTTAAAGACCATTTTTGTGTTTCTTCTCCACTACTTCACCTTGTCTTCAGTTATGATATTCACTCATTCTGACACAGATCTTAAACTGAATTCACTATGTTCTTAAAAAGCCTCAAACTCAACGTGTTGAAACCTGCAGAAAAGCTGCTGTGGTGATTTTTCATCGTGGCGTTAACAACCAGACTTTATGGACACAGCATGCTCTCTTTTTTCTCTTCAACTCAAACATTTCCCGTCCTTCTGCCACAGAATTAAACATAACCTCCGCCAATCTGGGAGCCGTTTTCCTCCTAAACATGATATAAACCGAGCCGCATCAGTAAACTCTAAAACAAACCTCCGTCTCAAATATTTCTCCACTCACTAATCACTAGAATCTGCATCTTCCAATTACCCAGAAGAAAGCGAACTATTTGCAAAGCGTTCCTCGTGGGAGCAGAGCTGTAATATTAGTTCAGCCAGCGTGCAACAGAAACACTGTTGATCTCGTCGCTGTGATGAAAAAGTAGGTCTCTCATAATGGCTGCATCTGTATGTAAGCATGCGTGGAAGACACAAAACACCAGCTGAAAGCATACATTACGTCAATTTGTGTCAATCAGGTTGAAATAATCAAACGTTTTAAATCGTGTAGAAAAAGAAAAATAGGCCAGTGTGCTTCCAGAGCAATTTCATTTTTCAATGTGCAGCTACGCCCCAGCAATTCAACGAGCCGGATTTCAGATGAGAGGCTCGGATTCATCTAATTTAACTATCGTTTTACAGCACATGTTTTGCTTGCTGCATTTCCCCCCCCATCTTCCTCCCTCTGCAGCGTTTCAACAGATCCATCTGCAGGCTCTCTAGTTATTCATGGCGCAGCTGAAGTCATTAGGAGTGCTGCTGAAAATGCTGATTATGAATTAGTTACACATATACTAATTGCGTGTGCATTAGTGGCTCAGCACTCACTAGCTAACAGCAACATTTAGCTCAATCAACAAAACAAACTCTTCGCCCCGGCGCTGGTAACAAGCTAACAAGCTGTTCTCTGTTCCCCTCTCTTTGGTTGCAGGTGTTTCTCGCGGTCGGATCACTTGGCGCTGCACATGAAGAGGCACATCTGAGGAGTCGGAGAGAGGTCAGCGGGAGTGGAAGAGAGGGGAAGAGGATGGAGGCGGAGTGGAGGATAAAAAAAAAAACGGAAAAATAACACGATGGATATGAAGGAGAAAGATAGAGAGACAGCGGGATGGACTCTAAAGACAGATTTGGCCGTTCTGGACTGCGGGGAGAGGCACCACACAGAGCAGCTGACTACAGACAGACCCTGAGTGGGTCTGTGCTCGAACATCACCACCTCACAAACGTCTCGTCGGCGAAGTCACGTAGACAGTCGCTTCATCCCGCCTTCACATCTCAGAGGAGATGTCACGTGATGGGTGGTTGACCACGCCCCTGTGGTTGGCAGCTCTTTGTTTTCGTTGCTTCGGAAATGTCAGCCCTCGTCACGCAGCAGTTGCTCTACATGTCAGCAAATACGTTAACGCCAAGCTGGACCGTTGTACAGTACATTTTAGCGCCGACTGCAGAACGGCTGTTTGTATATTCACGATTTTCTCGTCCTGGAAACTGCTGAGGCTGAGGAGAACAGTCGCCCTTGTTCAGAGTTGCCACGGCCTTTACAATTCGCCAAAGGGTTTATCATTATCATTACGGGACAGATACGTTTTTCATCTGACCTCTGTAACGTTGAATGAATCCATTTATAAATCCTCCTGCTTCGATGGCTCTGGAGCAAATGTTTGACGGAGACTTCCCGCAGACTTGAAGATGTGAGTTCTGCCCCTGACGCCCTGTGGAGACCGACGGAGGTCGTGTTGGGGCCTGGCTTGCTTCATGAGCGTCATCCATTGAGGGCTACCGCAGGACGAGGCGAACGTCTCTGGGAAAGACCGCTCCTCTCCGAGAATGTCAGCTGAACCTGAGAGCGTTTTTTCCCTCTTGTCAGAAACTGTTGCACAATTGACTCTTTGCAAACTTTTTGTAAAAAACGCCCCACCGTCTCGGACAATTTGGGACTCACAAGCACTGGCTTTCACGCGCCGGCGGAGAGAGGACAGCCAAAATGCACAAAGTGGAAGCAGCGAGCTGACTGCGATAGCACACAAACAAGATCACGATGTATGTAAAGGCTCTATTGTTTCTAAGAAAATATTTGTTCAACAAAAACAATTGAAAAGACAGTTTTGAAGAACGCGTTGGAAATGGATGCAGCCAAAAAGAAAAAGAAGAAAGAGTGTCGACTGTAGATGCCTGACATGATCTCTTCGGCCTTTGAGAGTGATTGGCACCGAACTAACCACTGGGTAGAGGAAGGTTTTTTTTTCCTGTTTGCACCACCCATGCAGAACTCTTCCAATTTCGCAGCTCATTTCAGAGAAAAGCAGAATCTAATCCGGCCCTATGCATATCTAAAAACATTCCTGCTGACTTCCTGATCACACGTGTTCGTCTGAACGCAGATTTCTACAACTGCCGGACACGGAAGGACTTGTAGGAAGACACAAATTCAATCAATTGGGTGGCTCTTCTCAGAGCGAATCAATGTGAATGTATCTGTTGTAAGTCTGTACATGTTGCGGTGGGAAGAACATACCAGACACCATTCGTGTTCATAGTTTCTCGTTTTCACATTGCGAACTAGAGTGACACTCAGCAGAGCACATATCTCCACCGAGGCCCAACGGTCCACAATCTGCAAGATCCACGTTTATATGTGGATCTACACCAAATAACACTCATAGATATCAGTTCCCTAACATCTGTCTGATTGTTTCCACCAGGATCCATGAATCATCTCCTGGGAAACATTCTATCTTGCAATGTTGAAGAACATGATAAAAGAAATTCCTGCATCCGCATCGTGGAAATCCGTTAAGCAGTTTTTATGTGTTCCTGCTGATAAACAAACAAACATGACCTTCTTGGTGGAGATTACGAATAGATGGACTTAGAATTACTTGCTAGCCGCGGGTGGTAGCTTTAAACATGTTACGAGTTGTACTGCACCAGCTGGAAGCGATGAGTTCACATTTCCAGCAGGGGGCAGGAAACTGCGGGAGACACGTATGCTCTCCCAGAAAACTGGAATCAACATTTGTCCTTTGTGTCCCGACTCTTCTCCTGAAGAGAAAAGCTTTTGCCACATTACGCTTTAAATGTTTTTAGTCCACAAATGAATTCTGGGTGAAAATCAGCTGAGATCAAACGCACACAAATCAAAATGGCAGCTTGGATGACGGTGGATGATCAAGACACCGATGAGCTCGATTGGAAACAGCTTCATCGACGTGTTTATTCTTTTTATTTTATTTTCTACAGGACTTTTAATACTTTGAGGCAACGTGGCCGCACACAGCAATCTGCTTCCTGGCCAGGGACACACAAAATTGATTTTACTCCGTGTACCACAGGCGCTTTTCAATTTCGGGTATGAATGCAGACCAGCTCAATCATATCTCGTCATGATCTGTCTGCAGCTCTGGAGGAGGATACTGAATCAACTGCGGCCTCGAGTAAACACCCAACGCTTTCTTTCTTAATGTACAAACAAGCCAGGATCCCTTTTTCATTGAACGTCTACGGCTGGAGATATTCTCTCTTTTAATTTTGCGTGCAGGGGCAGAACCAGACAGACGAACACCGGCTGTGTGACTAACAAATACCTGCAACTGTGTCTTCACCACAGAGACAGAGATGCTCGTCAAAACACCTGGCGAGAGATCTGTGCCGTTTCAGAAGTCGCCGTGTTTCTTTATTTACAGATTGTAAATTAGAGTCAGAGGCAGATTCATCGTGTTAGAATCTTCTACAAGTTTGCAAAGACAAACAAATTGGGTCCTCCTTTTTTCGCCGGTTGCAATTTAAAGCCAAGATAATCCCACATAGGTGATTTTGTATTCTTCTTTGCAGCGAGCGCTTCCATAATTGCATTGGCTGATGTAAGCTGTAGGCGGCAGGCCTCTATGTGCAAACAGCGGAGGGAGTGACTGCAAAAGAAAAACACTGATGCAGGTTTTAACGGATCCTTCAGTTTCATCCATCCACACTTATCAATGCTACGTTAAAGAAAAAGAATCAGACACTAGAGGAACTTTTTGCTTAAATGATCCAGTTATCCTGAGAGATACAAATAAAGAGGAGAAGTTTAAGCCATGGTTTAAAACGGTATCATCAATGGCAGCTCTACTTGTGGGTTTCAGTATTTCAGTGGGAAACTGAACTGTTGTGTGTGTGTGCGGGAAAATGTGCAGCTCTGGAGTGTATTTTTTTCTTTTCCGTTCCGAATGTAGGCAGCCGAGGATTTTTTTGGACTGGATGTGTTTAGAATTTGGTCTGACTCTTCTTACAAAATTGTGAGCTCCAAAAAAAAAAAACACAAAAAAAACAATGTGGATTTCAAATGTGAATGTGTTTCCAGGGAAAGGTTTGGTTTCATGTCGTCTCCGAGGATGCGGTTCGGTTTTGTGTCATCTTAATGAATGATTGTCAATTCTGCTGTGCCTGTGTGTTCTTCGTCTGTTTGTATTTGCACTCTGAATATTTTGGGAAAAATCACTTTGCATATCTTGTCCGTTTTCTGTCCGCTTGTACACGACACGTCTCACACGACGCCCCCCCGGTGAAGAGCCACTGATCACAAAGTCTGTATAGTAGCTGTTTTTAGCACAAATGTACATCCATGCAAACTACACACGCCAACAACACGCATATGCACAACTACACCCTGAACACGCTCACAGACACACACCCATTTGCTGTTCTCCTCGTGTGAGTGGAGGCGCGGACTGCAGCTCTCGGCAGAGGAGCGTGTGTTTGTGTGCGTTTGGGGAGGGAGGAGCATTACTATGTGTGACACCACCTCTGTTTCCACCAGGTCTGAATTTCAAATCAAACACTCCCCCTATTTCTACCAGCATTCCCTCATCGCTTTCCTCTCTTCCCTCTCCCCCTCTGTCCTTCCATTTTCTCTCACATGATCCCTCTGTCCACCACCTCCGCCACCTCTCATCCTCCTCCACCTCTCTCCTCCATCGTCTCTCTCTCCTTTTCTTTCGCTGTACAAAGTGTTTCAAATTTATCATTTGTATATTATGATGTATGGGTACGATAATGTTCTTTATTATGGAAAAATGAGAAAGATTTATTTTTGTTACTGGTTTGTTTCATAATTCTTTTTTAAATTGGTATTGTAATATCTCTATGCAAGGAACTGTTCGGTGAATCGTTTTTATTTAAGAATGTAATTATGTGTAATAAATGGTAGAAGCAGTTTGGCATGGAGTACTCATGGTTCTTGGCTCGTCTGTTAATGCCGCTCTCGTCCGGCAACAATATGCACCTAATCATCCATCTCCTCACAGAATGTTTTCTGATTTCTTATCAATCCTCAATCAAGGAGCCATTCAGTTTGCGGACAATGAGCGCCCGGAGTACATTCACACAGCCTTTTGCTTTTATTCTCACTGACCAGTGCGCTCTCCGCTCTGCTGGCCGGTTTTTCCGATGAGTTAAATCCTCCAACCAGCTGGGTAAGTGGGCAGGAACATTCATTTAGACCCTCCTTTTGGTGCCATTTGCACCAAACGCCTGTGATTTATTGTTCCGTTCGATCAAACGCAGGAAATGTGCCAGAAATACCTTCTCTTTGCCCGAATGCGTTCCCTCGCCGTCTCCCTCCGAGGCAGCTACGGCACGTTAATTACATCTGTTACCAACCAAGGTGATGACTTATCCTCTATTCCTGCCTTCTGACCATGACTAGCTGATAAAAGGGTAATCGAATAACTAATGGATAATTAGGGAGTAATTACTCTCTGGTAAATGGCCCTATGCAGTGGATTAATTCTCCTCGGGTCTGGCAGTGAGAAACTCCCATAAGGTTTTTTGTTTCATTTAATGCTCCCTAATTGAAATGGGCACCCTCATCAAGAAGCTTACATGTATCTGTCGAACCTAATGTTCTTTTATCTGTAATTACAGACAGCCGCATATTATCTACCTAACTACACCTACTGCGTCAATCTCAGGGACACGTTATAAAATTAAAAATGATGGAGTCATTTTTCAATAAAGGTCGCACGTCCCAGGAGCGCTCCTCCGTCTTCGTCGTTTCCACTCCATCTGATGGATATGGGGTTGTGTGTGAGTTCACAGCAGAAGAGCTAAACGGTCTTAATGCGTTTCAGCGGGGAAAGTGCCACGCTCGCTGTGTATTCACAAAAAGGTTAACGCACACGTTCACACACGCTGCAGGATAAAGTTTCCATCCAGAAGGACAAATAAGATTTTGACCTGATGAACGCTGTGGATGAAAAGCTGAGGGGTCGTGAGATGTTAGGACGATTCTTCCTGACGACGACGTGTGATCGTTGGTGTTTCATCTCACTCAGAAAACACAAATGTCAAACTCATTGCGCTGGAGGAAAATGATAATCCGTCCAATCCAACGTGACTGACGTCTTAGATCCAACATAAACTCAGTCCAGCTCATATCTCCACCAGGGCCCAACAGTCTCCTGATGAAAACACATTTCTCAGCTTTCTGTGTTTGTTCCATTGTTTCCATTTGATTTCACTGCAAACGAACCTGGTTCAGTTTGATCCGGACCCACACCACCTCCGAGGAACCTTTCACACCGGATATTCAGGTCCAGACTGAACTGAAATGTCAGAAGGTCTGCAGCAAATTGCACACCCTCATAGATCAGTAATCACAGATACTGCAGAGACAGAGCAGAGCCCGACCGATAGATCGGTTGGCTCACATCGTCCCATTTGGGCCTTTCGCAGATATATTGGTAACTGAATTCATGTTTGCAAATTAATTTGACTTTCTTGGTTGTTGGGTTTTCTTTTTATTAATAGTTATTTACAATAAAGTTTGGGTTAAACTGTAAAATATCAAACCTCGATTACATTTCTTATTTGAAGGTCCTGAGCCCTTGTGGACGGCAAAGTGACGAACAAAGACGAGGCTGTTTGTCCTTTTTGTACCATGCAACAGTCACCAAATCTACGACTCACCTGTTAACCTTCCACCCAGGTGAGGCGGCGGAGGAGGCACCACAGACGAGCAGAGTAACGTCGAGTCGGCGTCAACCCTCGTCTGACCGCGAGCATGGAAATCCGTTCAGGCCTTTCTGCAGAGTCCTGCTGACAAACACACGACGAGGAGTGAGAACAGTGGCTGAGGTGAAAGTTGCTCACATTCACAGAAACAATGCACAGACAGTCTGTGGAAAGAGGCGGAGTTGTTAATTACACCGGGGGATCCCGAGCAGAATAATCTGATTCACAGGAACGCTGCGTTGATCGACACGGCTGCTGGCGCTTGATTTCATGTTGTCAGTAACCACGTCTGCCTCTGTTGTTCCTTCTTATCAGCATCAGACGATAACATCGATGTAAATCCTGTCGGACAATGGGATTACAACATCCCAGGATATGATCTCGTCGTGATATTCTAATATATCTGGATTTTATCTTTTATTCAAAGTAATTGACCTGAGTAAATGTACGTACTGTTTATTTAATGCACGAGTGAACAACCTCCTCAACCTGATTATTAAAAATGTAATTACACTTTTAAAAGCAAATAAAAATAAATGTAACAGTAAGAAAAATGTAAAAAATCACAGGAAAGTTTTTTCCTCCGAGCTTTTAAAATAACTGTCTCATTGTTCGTCGGTTTATCAGCTTGCCCTTGAATCGTCTGCTGCCGCTGCTCCGCGATTCACCTGAGCCCCGTTCACAAATGTGCTCTTTGTTATATACGGCGATTTAGCCACAGCTCGCTCTTTTATAAACAGTGTGACTGCGCTGATTTGAAGAAAGAAAAGGCTGATTCTTCAGGCAAAGCAGTGATTCACTTAACCAGCAGAAAATAAAGCCTCTTTTTTCCCCTCATGTGGTTGTGCAACACAAGATTTCGCCGAGGAAGCTGCCAACGCCTGTGGGTGTCTTGTAGGCGTTTGGCAGCCGTGTCGGGATGTTATTGTCACATCTGGCAACGCGGAGACGCCAACATACTGTGAAGCAGCTCCGAGTTTAAAGCCTCCCTCACAACATCTTATTCAACGCTCAGACCGTCAGTGCACTCTGACACTAACAACAAGTCCTGGCGAAGATTGCATCGAAGACACTCGCTTCAATCTGAAATCTCCTCTCTCAGAATCAACGCTGCGTCCCACAATCAGTCGGGAGACATGGATTCTTTGGTTTCGTGCCACGAGCAGCCAAGTGCTTAGGTATTTCCAATTATAGGGAATATGTCGAGGTGGCCCTTGGTAATTAAAACCTAATCATGCTGGTGGATTCAGAGAAGCATCCTCATCAAGCTTTCATTAGTCTCCCTCCTTGTGGCGCCCGGCAGCAACCCAACCCCCTTTATGGATGCTCACACGGCCTGTCGCCAAACCTACCTTTGTATTTAGCAGAGTGCAGGATTTAAAATGACTCAATAATCATTTTCTTTTTGTAAACAATCTGTTTTTAAAAAATAAGACTTATACGTTATCAAGAAAAATGAAGTGTCGACTGTGAGAGGAGAGCTGAAAAGCACATTGTGGCTTTTACAATATATTTATGTTGCTCCGGCACAAATCCTCAAAAAAAAAAAAAAGCTGCACACCCGTGAAACAATAGTGTGCGTTTGCTTTAGATGCACAAGAGCTCTGTTTTCAAGGTGCAATCTCACTCCAGCTCTCACTCATTTCCTCCCTCCAGATCAGATCTGACAGAGCTGCAGGTCCGACGCCGCATCCGGAGACGGGGACGAGCATCCGCGTGTGGGCCGGTGGTCGGGGAGAGATCCAGCAGAGCGGCGTGTGAGAGCACCTGGCTCTCCGGTTTGACAGAACACCTGGAAGCCCGGTGAGAGAGCGGCGGTGTGGAAGCCACCGCTGCTCTACAGGGCCATGCATTATGCAGGAAGCTCTCTCTGCCGCTCTCTCTCTCTCTCTCTCTCTCTGCCCCCTGCTCTGCAGTAAAAATAGATCAACAGACCTGAACATTCAGCTCTTTTTTTTTTTATGCTTCTCACTTTCACATACATCTCACCAGGTGCGGGTGCGTCGGCTGCTGCCTCGCATCTCTCACTCTCCGTCTGTGTGCGAGTTTAAACATGCACATGTTTGCACACATTTTTCAGTGAGTGTGTGTGTGTGTGTGTGTGTGTTTGTGTGTGTGTACGTGTCTGCTGAAGCGTGTCAGCCAGGTTTGGTCGGTTTTTATCAGTTTGCCACTGCACTCGGGTTTTAATAAAAGTGGGATATTAGTCTGGCGGTGGTGTTTCCCACTTTATGAGGGAAGGAGGATGTGATTTGATCTCACAGGGTCAACAGTGGCTCGTACAACGTGCAATTAAACCTGCACTTTGAGGCCAAAAGT